AAAAAAGGAGGTTAAACAGACGTTCGCCAAAATTATCATAAAAAGGTTCAAAGTTCAGAGAACCAGAAAATATTTTTATTTTAAGTTATTGTCCACGTGACTTTAGTGTCTTTTATTTTGAAGGCTTGCTGTTTCCTGTTCCGGGTAGCTCAGTTCAGTCACCCAGCGAAGATGGGACCCGGCTCGACTCCCTCACATGATCAAAAGATGTCCAAAACTAAAGGGGATTTTCCCTCCATACCGAAACACTCCTACTGGTTGGACTTCTGGGTGTTTGTGTTGTTTGACATCGCTTTATTCCTCTTTGTTTATTTCCTAATCCCGTGAAGAGGTGAGTGAAAGAAAGCGATGAAGTTTTTTTTAAAGGGCGGCTACGGAAGTTGAGCTAATCCTAAAAACGCTATTTAAATGATTTGGAACATAAATAACCTCATAATGATTTATCAGTATTAGGAATGTTAATTTAAAATTGAAACATTTCTTTAAGGTAAAGCTTGTGTCTTTTACGCAGTAATGTTACAGAACACATAGTTTATGTTAAAGGCTACGCCACTGATGAGTGGTGCGTTTTAGTAACGAAAAATTCCGAGTCGCCTTGAACTCGTCACTGTTCTGGCTGTTTACAGACAGGAGCTGCTTTATTCTTAGTTATGCTTCTTAAATATTGATACTGACCAAGCTTTGCTTCCATTATTTTGCTGATTGTTTATGCAAAGCAGACATCTTGAAACGTTATCCCTAAGGTAAGATCCCTCAAGCAGTTGGCCTGCAAATGATGCAAATGATGTGAACTATGTAAATGTTATAGAGACAGACAAACTGAGAAGAACAGTATGAGCTCAGCTTTTGCTGGAGTATTCAGTGTGATAAAGACGCTGGAGTATACAGTGTGATAAAGAGGTGTCCATCCATCCATTATTTTGTTCTGAAGTCGGGTCGTGGGGGCAGCATCTTGAGCAGGGAGCTCCACGCATCTCTCTCCACAGCCTCTTCAGCTCTTCTGGGAGGACTCCAAGGTGTTCCCAGGTCAACTGAGAGACAGTCTCTCCAGTGTGTCCAAGGTCTTCCCCGTGGTCTCCTCCGCAGTTGGACATTCCCGACGCACCTCCCTAGGGAGGCGCTCAGGGGACATCCTTACCAGGTGCTTGAACCACCTCAACTTGCTCCTTTCAATGTGGAGGAGCAGCGGTTCTACTCAAAGTCTCCTGATAACTGAACTTCTCACCCTGTCTCTGAGGGAGAGTCCAGCTACCCTGCACAGGAAACTCATTTCAACCTCCTGTATCCACGATCTCATTCTTTCAGACACTGTGCAGAGTTCATGACCTCAGGTGAGGGTAGGAACATAGACTAATAAACAGAGAGCTTTGCCTTACAGCTCAGCTTCCTCTTCACCACAACGGACCAGTACAGAGTCCACAATACTGCAGATGCTGCACCAATTGAGGACCATGGCCTCAGATTTGGAGGTGCTGATTCTCTAATAACGACATGCTGGGTCTAATTTTCTTCAATTTGTACTTTTCTTGCCCTCGTTGATTTTACCTGCTGTGTTCACCTGTCCATATCTCTTAATCTGGACAGCGTCGCCTGATTAAATTGACATTTCCGAGCCGTTTACAGAAGAACCCACGAGTTTAAATCTGAGCGATGCTGTTCACTTCAGTCCTCATCATCTGTGTTTGTTTCAGGTTTGTCCCCGTGACTTTGGCGGCTGAGGACATGAAGCGCAGGTCCTGCCCTGCTCTGAAGAAGGCCAACCCAGATTAGACTGAACTTAACGCCACGCTTCGTTTCCACACCTGGGTCCATCGATGGTCAAACCTTTGGACACAACATCCTGACTTGATCCTCACAAATCCCTCTCTGAGCTGCAGCTCGTCTGGGTTTCAGTTGTTGTTGAGAGGAAGATAAAAATGTTAAAGTACTGATGAAAACTCACTGAGCTTTGACTGACTGCTACTCTCAGGACTCGAGTAATTGTAACGATTTATGTAAAACCCGTATGTGCTTACTCTAAATGTTTTATTTTCTAATTTAATGTCTACACTCTTTAGTAAACCATTTGGTGAACATGTGTTTGGACCAGAGAAGGTGTGAAAGATTTAAAAAATATACTTGCACACCATAAGGAACAACTTGCATATAAAGGTTTTGGGAATTTGCACATGAACATTTCAAGCACAAATAAAGTGTTTTGGCTTTTTGCTTGATTTTATATATATATTACTAGATTTTGTACTTTTCACACGTATACAAAACTTATATTTAATGCTAAAAGTGAGCTTTGATATTTTAAAAACTAGTGACTGCCCACCTTTTATTTTGAAAGAGTCAACGTTTCCGGTTAAAAAGTTATTAGCACGCTAGCATGCTAAGTTGCGCTACTTTTTCAAAAACTTAAAAAAAAAAAAGTCTTAAGGTACTATCTACATTATGGAAAACGTATGTGAAGTGGAAAACACAGGTTCGTTTAAAATTTATTTATTTACTGTTTGTTTTCTTCTCCAGTTTTCCTGTTTGTTCGCTACGAGAGCTAACAGCTATCATGCTAGCTAAGCTAACGTTAAAACATCGTAGCGTTTTAAATCGCTGCTGGAGAAGATCAAGGGATTTTATTTAAATTTTGATATGTGTTTGCTTAATTAAACTACCTAAAGTTAAAATAAGTTATTTCACAAAGTGTCTGACAACAAATATGTTAACTAAATGCTATTTTTATAGCGTTTTTTGACACGTCGTACCCCTTTAAATAAACTTGATATTGTGGCATTAAACAGTTTTCTGAAAAAGTTGCTCAAATATTTGATAAATGGTTTGGAAATAAAACCTCTCAGCTAGTTTAATTAGCAGCTTGTGGATATACTTTTTGTTTAGTTCCCAAACATTTAAGATGTGTAGCCCCACATGCTGCTAGAAGCGTATTAACATCTGTTGTGACATCTGTAATCAAATTACACAAAGGCTTAGTGCCAACCCCAACAACTAATACACAAGTTTTATTAATTTTAGACTATTTTAAGAACTGGGGATCACAACTGACCTCAACTTTGGAATCCAGTGACCCCACATGGACCTGTCTCTGTTCTGTTTGCTTATGAACGCAGCCGTACAATAACACAGTCACAGAGGATTATAGTGATTTAAAAAGAAAAGTTAAATCTGGACATTCAAAAAAACAAAGCAAGTGTCAGGAGGGCTGTGATCAGTCTTACATCGGGGAAACTAAACAGCCACTGGCCAAAAGGATGGACCAGCACAGAAGATCAACATCATCAGGCCAGGACTCTGCGGTCTACACTCATCTCCAGGCCAGCGGTCACTCTTTCAGGGATGAAGATGTGCACATCCTGGATAGAGAGGAACGATGGTTTGAGAGAGGAGTAAAGGAGGCCATCTTTGTGAAAAGAAATCGTCCATCATTAAACAGGGGTGGAGCCTCCGGGTTCAACTGTCCCCCTCTTACAATGCTGTGATTGCTAGTATCACTCAGCCCTCTGTGAACAGTAAACAGCCATCAGTGTGCTAATGATCCATTGTTAGGCTGATGGTCCTTCTTGAGCATGTGATCAGCTGGTTTTGGTTGTCAGCAGCAAAACTGGTTGATCCACTCTGAGACGGTGCTATTTAAGAGACTGAGCTGAATACAGCACCTCAGACTGAGGAAGTCTCTCAGATAAAACGTTTCTACGTTTTGTTTTGTTGAATGTCCAGAGGACCAGATAGATTTTTCTACCTGGATTATTGAGCATGCATCAGGATATTGTAGTGATTTGTTTAATGCATCCATGTCTTGTTTCCATGGTCATCACTGCAGAATGATGGTGTTTCGTCTATTCAAGTCTCAGGAGTTTAAAAAAGCAACGGGACTTCTCTTTTTTTTTTGTTGTTGCTGTTGAAGACATTCACATCTCGGTTCAAACTGAACTGTGTCGAGCTGCGAAGCTTTAAAGTTCCCGAGGTGCTTCTGAATTTATACACAGATTAGTCCCACTCCTCCTGGGGGTCGTTGGGGATTTATCAGCCTGGTCTTTGTGAGAAGAGTTTTAGTGACGAGCATAAATGTGTAAACTGATGTGAAACTGACTGGGAAACAGATCCTTTTTTTTTTTTTTTTGGCTGCGACGTGTCGTCCTTCATCCAATGGACTTCATCAGTTCGAATCTCGGATTGATTGAAACGTCTCAGCCATAAAACAAACCGTCCAGATGACCCGACTGAACATTACCACTGTGTTCAAATTGGCTGATGAATAAGGAAGTTGTGCAGTTATCGTGGATCAGACCCACTCATCATTGCAGGGCTTTAAAAAACACTTTTGGGCCAACAGAGTGTCGTGAAAGTTTCTCAGAATGGAGAAAATAGTTTATATTAATTTACCAGAATGAATCCTATATGTCCACTATGGGAATATTGATCTCTGAAATCTAAGCCAAATGTTCAAACTCACCTGTCCCAGTGATCAGGGGTGGGCCGTTGGATCGTCTGTGGAGAGGTTGTTTAGTTTCTCCTATGTACACCGCCTTGAACTGCAGATGTCACCCTGCTCAGTTTGTTTGGGGGGGTTTGTCTTTAAGGTGAACCAGCCTCTGTTTGAGGGTCCTGCTTATTTTGGAGTGCACCAGGAGGTTGTGTTTGGAGAAAATTCTTCTGAGTGTCTCAGTGAAATTTCTGTCTTATGCAGCTTTACAACCCAGCACGTTCCAGTTTGGATTGAGAAGTGAAACAAATTTAACAACAAGAAAAGAAGTCTAGTCCTGCATGGCACAAACATACCTCATTAACAAGGTTTTCTAAAAATCATTGCCTTCTGTTTTACTTTTATGAAAACGTCCCTTTCATCTGTCCAGATGTATTCCTGCCCCTGTCGTCCCTGAAGCTGCTTATTCCTCCTCTGCGGCTCCTTTCTGCAGCCATGTGGCAGGCGGCTCAGCGGAGAGACGTTCTTGATTATGAAAAGCTCGATGAATTTGTGGCACTGGTGACGGCAACGGTCCCCGACCTGCTCAGTCCAAAGCAGCGAGGCAAACTGTTGTTCCGACTGCGAGCAAAAGTGAGTCGGTGTGAAACACGTTCAGAATGACCAGGGGCGTCCAAACTTTTTCACGCGCAGGTCACAATTGTTGTGTTGAATGCACTCGTGAAATGCAAAGATTAAGTTTTGGATTCAAAATGTCTGAATATCATTTTTGTAATATTTTTTACTTTTCAACTCAACAACGTCAGCATATAATATTTTAGAGAAGACAAAAGTACAGTGTTTTTCGGCCTATAATTTGCAGTTTTTTGCAGAATTTACATGCCCTGCAACGTATAGGCCGAAGCAACATATTTATTGATTTTTTCCCATATTTATAAACCAATTCTTTTGCTCAGATATGACCATTTTCATTCATTGCGGCTGAAAAAAAGAAGAGCAGTACCACTGTCAGCCACTTGATGGCAGCAGTGTAGTAATAGTGTGTGGCATGCTGTTGTATCATGTAATAGGTAAACGTGGCTAAAATGACAAATTCATAATAGTTCGAGACAAAAACAGCTGGACTTTATTTATTATACTTTATTGTTTTTTTCTTGCACTTTTGAGAATTGACCATGTCCTGGATGACAGAATCTTCACCAGCTTTTAATGACTCGGTCGGCCTGCCATAGTCTCCCCACCTTCATTCTGCTCGCTGCTTGGAACTGTCAAAACAGCTCAAAAAACATTCAACACACAAAAAAAACCCCACCACCCTGGCACAAATGCAGCCGATTTGTCCATTAAAGTGCATTTATTAAGCAAATGTTAGACTGAGACACACATTTACTATAATTTCGAGCAAACAAATAATTGTTTTTAAGTGTTAATCTTGTTAAATTATTGTTAAAGTCCTCCCGTGCACGCTCCCACGGCCTCCATTTGGCAATCCATCGGTTTTTGGCACAGCACCGGTCCATATTTCCGTGTTGTCAGCGGTGACACATAACAGATGAGACGTGTACAGCGAAGCGACATATTTATGGATTTTTCCACTTTATTAGACAAATATGGACTTATAGGGCGGAGCGACGCATACAGCAGAAAATATAGTATATAGGTTTTGTGGTAAAGGAGTTTTAAATCGTTGTAGATCCAAAACATGAAAAGCCTCCAAACATTTAGCTTAAAAAAAATAAAAGCATTCATTTTATTTTGATTGGTTGGGTCTGTTTTTTGTTTTTTTAGTCCTTTGAGAAGAATATCCTAACGCTGCTCAGTAATCCAGGTAGAAAAATGTAAAAAAAAAAAAGAACAAATAAAGTCCGGTTCTCTGGACGGATTCTTCTTTGACTTTATTTTTTTGTCCTTGGAAAGAAGAGTTCTGTCTCTGAAGAGACCTAAATAGAAGTCACTGCTTCAGACCTTTGAAACTAACATTTTTAAAATCCTCCCTGAGTTAGTGTGTGTGTGTGTGGTGGTGGTGGGGGGGTGCTTTATTTATTTATGCATTTGTTTCTCTATATAAGGACATCTTCAAGTGTAATCTGACTGCGTGTAGTTTGGCCAACGACCTGCGACGCAATATTTAAGACGAAGTTCGGATTTGCCAGCCACATACGAGCACATGCCAGAAGCTAGCCAGGGTCGCCATCGTCGGACACGACGTGGACAACATCATGCATTTGTTTACTTATTTTTCAAAAATTGGTTTGGACTGGCCACGGCTGGCCCACCTTAAAACGATGGTCCAAATACCAAAATGTTCCACCTGGCAGCCACTCAAATTGATGTATGTGCTAGGTTTGAAGCAACACTAGTAAAGGAGATTCTTTCGGCCGCTCCGTTCTAGAGAACTTGTCACAGCGAGTAAACTTGCATAAAAGATTTATGCCAGATTTTCTTCCTGATACAACCTGGGCTCAAAACGGCAGATTACAACACGTAACCAGTGAGCTACCGCAGCCCAGTCGAAGCAGTTCCACTGTGTGTGAACGATGCTCTCAACAAAGTCTTATTTTCCTCTATTAATGATTCAATCAGCAGCAATTTTTATCTTTAAGAATTTTAAGAATGTCAAAAGTCAACTTTTTAGTAAAAGTTAGTTTGTGATGTGGAGAGACTACGTCCCTCAGTTGGACTGGGAAAAAACCTTGGAGTCCTCCCAGAAGAACTGGAAGAGGTGGCTGTGGACCTTCCTGCTCACGCTGCTGCCCCCGAGAGCCGACTTCAGAACAAGTGGATGGATGGATGGATGGATGGATGGATGGATGGTTTGTGATCCTCCTTATTGTGAAATTGGTTGAAAACAATTATCTTTGTAGAGATCTAGTATAGAGCTGTATGGATGGTAAATGAGGCACAGATTGTTGTGCAAAAAGCTTTGAGTATCTTGAAATAAGATAGAAAGGTGCTATATAAATACCGTATTTTCTGCCGTACACGTCGCACCGCCCTATAAGTTGCATCAGTCCAGATATGTCTAATAAAGTGGAAAACTCCATAAATACGTCGCTCATCTTATACGTCGCATCTATTACGCGTCATCGTTGACAATCCAGAAGTGTGGGCCGGTGTTGTGCCAAAAATCGATTGGCAGTCAAATGGCGGCCGCGGGAGTGTGCATAGGAGGACTTTAACAAGAATTTAACAAGATTAACACTTAAAAACAATTATTTGTTTGCTCACAATCATAGTAAAGGTGTGTCTCAGTCTAACTTTTCCTTAATAAATGCACTTTGACGGTCAAATCAGCTGCATTTCAAAAGTATTCAGTGCTCTGGGAGCGTGCCGAGAGGAAATCAGGAACACTGTGCATTTCTTCAAGATTTAACAATATAAGTACCTAAAACAATTATTTGTTTGCTCGTAATTATAGTAAAGTTTTGTCTCAGTTGAACTTTTACTTAATGAATGCACTTCATTGATCATATCAGCTTCATTTCGTCGGGGCGGTGCAGCGAAATGAAGCTGATATGACGGTTTGTCCAGGCAGCAAGCAGAACGAAGGTGGCAGTTTATGGCAAACCGATTGTGTCATTAATAGCCACTTTTACCTATTACATGACACAATGGTATACCATACTATTCAAGTGCCATCTAGTGGCTGCAAATGGTAGTGTTCATTTTTTTCAGTCTGAATGAATGAAAACGATCATATCAGCCAAGAATTAGTTTATAAATATGGGAAAAATCCATAAATACTTCGCTTCGGTGTATAAGTCGCAGGACATGTACATTATGCAAAAAAACTGTGACTTATAGGCTGGAAAATACGATACAGTCCTTTTACTTTTTAATTTTTTTTTATTATTATTATTATTTTGGCTGCTCCCTTCGTCACCAAGCTAACTCGATGTCCATCGTCATCATCCTCTTAAACATGAGGGTCAAATTGGACTATTCATAAATCGCAGCCACACAAAATCACTCCAAAGGCAGAAAATGGCTCACGGGCCACATATTTGACACCCCAGTTATCAGCTTTAGAGACATACAGTAGCCTCATCCCTTGTTTTTAATCCTTGTGTTTAGGTTATTCTTGAGTTGTGCAGAAGTGCAGAAACGGCGAATATTTCATGTGTCCGGCCTCACTTAGAGAGGATTCGACCGCCGGGATATCTAGGAGTGAGTATGATTTTATACGCCGAGTGAAACGTGTCAGTGCTGACCTGCTCTCATCGTTGTCCCAAATCCACTGATTGTTCTTCAGAGTGGAGACGCAGAGGTAGACGCAGAGGAGGCTGTTTTTGTACAGTTAATCCAAACGCTGCTGAATGACCCAGCAGAGAGGGAGCACTTTTACCAGGTGAGGAATCGTCAAGAGTAGAAATGACCCGAGTCAGAGCTTCAAGCTTCAAATCGAACCAGGTTAAATCCATCATCCACACATTAGTTTCAACAAGTGTAAACTGTAGGCACTCATATTAACAAGTATGCAAGCAGATCTGCTGTTTCCAAACACATCCCCTCGATTTATGTGTTTGTTAAAAAACATTATGTTAATATTTTCAATTTTCCTCGTTATTGTACTATCCTATTAACTTTTTCTTAGATTTTTTGTTTCATTCTCACTGAATTCGGTGTTGGCGACCTGCAAACTGTGCGGCTGGATTTTGCTCAGGCAGATATGAAAATCACGGCATGTCTTTGTGCGCACGGCTTACAAAACTGTATTCAGGACCTTGCACAATGTTTTATCGCCCGCCTCTGCAGGCACATTACCCACTGTCTAAAATCTTTGGATTTTTATGTAGACAGCAAAAATGCAACACAGAGGCATCCATTTTGCTCCCAACATGTGAGCTTTGTGCACATGCTCCACTCCTTGTTTCCTGTTTTTGGTGTGTTTTCGTGGCAGCATTGCAGTGCAACATAACGACCTGGCCTAGTCAGTGTTTTCATGTGGATAAAAACATTTCCAGAAACAGTCATGTTTTCAAGGTTGTTGTTTTTTTGGAAACAACAAAAAAAATATATTGTTTGGAAAAACATTGTACATGTGGACAAGGCCTCAGTGAGAAGCAGACGTTTGCGATCCTGATCTGGCAACATTTGTGCAACAGATTTGTTGTTAAATAGTGGAAAACTTGTCCCAAAGCTGCCACAGGCGTCTCAAATCCTTCTCAGTTTACCATAGTTTCCTTACTTGTAGAGAGCTAGAGCTGAAACTCTTCTTATGACAGAAAACATCAAATTTCCAGGTCAAAATCTTCATTTCTAAAGTGTACTTCATTGGAATGAATTACAAACTGTGTTATAGTTGCACATGTGGGTACAAAGCAGGCTGATGTGGGTATGAAGTGTGCAGCCTAGAAAACAGTTTATCAAGCTGTGCATGCAAAAATAGGTTGTGAGTTTCAAAACCTGAGGCTGAATCTTAACTGGATTTCATACAAATTTGAGTCACCAACAAGGCTCCACTGGTCACAACCCACTGAGGTACTGGCGTAAGTTTTTTTGAGGGTACACAAATTGGCATTGCAACATCAAGTAAAGACAATTTCCCACCATACACTCAAAGGATGGACAGTTTTAGAGTATTTGAAGTATCAATAAAATGTGTAAATTGGAATAAATAATGCGTCTGTCCTTTTTTTTATGTCCAACACCTAAAAATGATACACCAAGTTTTTTTTCCTTAAGGTGTTTTTCTAGGTGGTGTTTTTTTTTTTTTTTAACTCAACACCTACACCCCAAAATAATAAAATAAACGTTGGTTACGTACTGTAACCCCAGATTCTATGAGTATAAGCGTAGCCCTTTAAGGCCTTCGCTTTAGTGGGTTTATCCCGTTATGCAGAGCATAAGCACTGAAAAAAAATAGTCCACGCCCACCTGCTGTGTGGGCCCCACCCGGTCCGTATAAATTACGTTAAGAGCGGGAAATCGGCTCCCAAAATAGCTTTTTTCTTCAGCCATTTAGGAGCCAGTGAGGCCCGACGCTTAAAGGGCTACGCTTATACTCATAGAATCTGGGGTTACAGTACGTAACCAACGTTCTATGTCGTATAAGCTTCGCCCTTTAAGGCCTTCGCTTTAGTGGGTAAAGGGCGAAGCCGATGTGGTCCTCGCCTCACTGGGTCCATTCGAACACAGTAAGAAGCGGAAGCTTGCCCAAAAAACGTCTTTTCACTCAGCTCCCCGTGTGCATAACTACGCATCGCGTAATTATGTGCCATGCACAGACGCATGTTGAGTAACTATGCGTTCTGACAAAGCATGAATGCCCCGGAAAACTTTCAACGGGAAGAAGAAGTTGAAAAGAGGGGGGGGGGGGGGGCATGAACCAACTGGTTCATGGCTGAACAGTATAAACAGATTAATGTCCATGAATTGATTATTGATCAAATGAACTGATTGGTAACAATAGTCATGAACTGATTAGTGACAATAAAACCAAAATCACAGACACGACTTGTGACTGATAACAACATCTCACACTGTAATGCATGCAGACAGAAGTGAGCTTAAACAGAGTTCTATGAGAACAACAATATTCATTCTGTTAGAGCACTAAGGACAGAATGTGTCATGGAACGAGCCGTTACATCACGTAGGTAAAAGCGAATAAATGAGCAGGGTGTTGACCATGCAGCCGCAGTGCAAATGTCCTGCATTGACATACCATTATGCAGAGCAGTCGAAGATGCGAAACCCCTGGTCGAGTGTGCTTAGAGGTTGACAGGAGGCCCTAAATCTGATGCTCTGTAGGCTTCAGAAAAGGCCTCACACAGCCAGTGTGACAAGCGCTGGATGGATAACGGCGACCTGCAGAAGCATCTCTATAATGCACAAACAATTATTGAGTTTGAAACGCATTGCAGCTGTGCGCGTTATGTAACACATCAACGCCCGCACCGGGCAGAGAAGATGAAAAGATGCTTCCTCTTCTGATCTGTGGGGGGGAAAAAAACCCCTCCAACGATATCACTCTTGATTTAAAAGAGCTCGTGATGTTTTAGGCATAAAAGCTGGGTTTGGTCTTAAATCAGCTGAGCTGCCCGTCAGCCTAAATTCTAAGGCATGACGAAGCAACAGAGAGGGCAGATAATTACTTACCCTCTTAGCGGGTGTTAAAACCAGCAGCAGGGCTGTTTAAAGAGACAAGAATTTAAGTGAAACCTGATCCAGAGGCTCAATTGGAGCTTTGATCATGGCTCGCAGGACCAGCGTTAAACCCCACTGTGGAGCAAGTGGACGTGAAGCAGGCCTGTGTCTCTGAACATCTTTTAGAAAAACGCTTCATCAGCGGGTGATTAAAAGCTGTTCTGTCTCCGAAACCTTCGTGGCAGGAATAGATGACTGCAACGTACGTTAAAGCGTACTGAAAACCAACTCCCTATCCATCAGCTGTTGTAGAAAAACAACACGCCGCCTAAAAGGCATGAGGTGGTCTCTAAACCTTCTCTGTACACCAGCGCTGAAAAGCCGTCCCCTTTGATGTGTACAGAACTGTGGTAGATGCAGCACGTGAATCTTGAATTGTGCACACTATCTCCTGAGGGAGACCCATCCTCTAAGTGGGACCGCTCAGCGGTCAGACCCACAGGTGTTGACCTATTTCTGGGTAACTCTTGGTCGCTCCTCCTGCCTGAAGGAGAGCATCCTCCCTCCACGACAGTTCCACGGCGACCCGACAACAGACGTTGCAGGCCTGGGAACCATGGTGCGTTCACACGCCGGGAGCCACCAGGAGAGCTGTCAATCCCTCCTCCTGAACTCGGTTCAGGAACCGTAAAAAACAGAGGAGGTGGGGGAAAAGAAACGCGTATAAAAGCGTTTTGGGCCACCGGCTGTGAGCAAATGCGTCCCCCCCCAGCGATGGATCGTCTCGCGGGCTCAGGGAAAACCATAGTTGACACTGAGCGTTCTTCTCGCGTCGCAAACAGGTCCACAGCTGCTTTGCCAACTTCTGCTGCGTCTGAAAACATCAGATCTGGATGGAGGGTCTGGTCCACGTGACGTGGGCCGCCCCTGGACGTCACATCTGCCCCTCTGTTCAGAACACCGGATATGTAAAACCGCTCTAATAGAGAGCAGGTTTTGATGAACCCAACTCAGTAGCTTTCGCACAATGTGTAACATCTGGGCTGAACGCACACCCTTTGATGGTTATGTAAGCAGCAGTCATCATGTTGTCTGTGTGAATCAACATGTGTTGATTCTGTAGCACGGGAGCAAAGTGTTGAATCACATTCAGTACTGTGCGACACTCCAAAACATTGATGTGGGCTGATGTGTAGTGGGGCCACAGCGCCCCTACTGCTTGAGATAGGCATGTCCCCCCCCCCCCCCCCCCAGCCTGACAGCAACGTGTCCGTGAAGACTGACCCGTGACGTGGGTCTGCTGAGGGGGACTCCCTCTGACAGAAAACAAGGTGTTTCCCCAGAGTCGGAGGTCTGCTTCCACAGAGGAAGGGACAATGATCATCCGTCGTTTGTTTTACTGGATCCACATGCAGACGTGCAAAACACCTCTGGAGGCGTCTCATGTGAAACAAACCAGCGGAAAACACTGTGTGAGTGACATCATTTCCAACAGCTTCATGACGGAGACAGCTGTTAACACTTGCCAGGTCTTACGTGGCTGAGTTGACTTTTTTTTAAAAAAGTGTCGAATCTAGTTTGTGATAAACGAGTTTTCATGGTGGTTGAATTTAATTCCACTCCCAGAAACAAATGTCTGGGCCGGGAAAATCGAGCTTCCTTCCAATTTATGGCGAAGCCCAGATTTAACAGGTGTGATGTCAACACCTGATCCTGCATCAGCGCCTCCTGTCTGAAGTGACAGGAGCAGCAGATCATCCAGGTAAAACAAAAACTCTCGTCTCTGTGTTAGGATGATCGGTATGCGTTCTCTGGATGTTAACAACAGATCCAAAAACGGTCTCACCCCTCCGATCCGTGAGTAAAAACCTTGTGTTTTCTCTCCCTTGGGGAACTCTGTAGATTACTTTTATCAGAAAACACTTGGATTTCTGCATTTAGGGATGAGAATCAGTCTGATGATGACGGGACCGTTTTTTTATAACTCCTCTGAATGGAGGGGTTCGGGTTGCAAACTGTAACTTGTACCATTTGCATAAAACCTTGTCCATCCATCTGAAAAACGGCAATCATGTTTTAGCCACTCTACGTAACGTTCGTAGGGTGAACGTGCATTAAGTGATGTGTCATGTTTTGTACGGCTGTCAGCAGTCCGCCCCTCAACCGCCGTCATGCGTCGCGGGAATGTTTTCTGTGTGATCCCGGGCGAGACTTGTGCTGAAGGCGAAGCGTGTGACAGCTGATGACGCGGTGGGGCTGCGCGTTTGACGTCGCTGTGCGAACGTTGAAAAGGCGGAGGGCGTGACTTCATTTACGCCGTGCTGTTGGAGTGAAGGCTGCTAGCCCCGCGGGAGCACACGTTGTTCTCTGGAGGGACGCGCGCCGCTCTCGCTGGAGGGGCGCGCGCTGGAGGGAGGCGGGACTCATTACCGGGTTCTTCAGCTGCTTCCCGTTTAAGCTGCGGTGAGCTGCCGAAAGCTGAGACGCGGTGGGTGACGGCTGCCCGCGTTGATTCGTCGAGACGGGTGTCGTTTCTTGTGAGAGAGAAAGGACCTCCACCCGAACCAGCCTGCGGACCACATTTATACCGATGTGAGCTGGTTAGCGCCGGCAGCTGTGTGTGCGCCAGCATCAACGCAGCGCCGTTTGGATGGAGGCTGTTCATTTTAGTGATCGACTCGTCATGTCAAGAGCGGCGGTGAATTAAAACCCTATTTAAGGACACCGGCTCATGTGGAGGCTGTTCCATCCCACAAGTGCGAGTTGACACCGCTTGAGTGAGGATCGTGCAGTTCTAGTTGGTAACGAGTTATTTTCGCTTACCGTTGTGCCGTGATCGACTCGTCATGTCTAGAGCGACGGTGAGTTAAAAAACCTTTAATTAAGGACACCGGCTCATGTGTGGAGGCTGTTCTGTGATCGACTCGTCATGTCTTAGAGCGACGGTGAGTTTAAAAACCTTTATTTAAGGACACCGGCTCGTGTGTGGGGCTGAGTTTAAAAGGCCTTATTAAGGACACCGGCTCTTATGTGTGCGGCCGCTGTGAGCTCATCCGGGCTTACAGACTGGCTAAAAAACAGACACTTTGATCATTAATGATGATTTATTTCAACTTTCGTGTCACTTTTACACACACCCTCCGGAGACCGTCATTTTGAGAGCTTTCTCTCTCATGAGCTCTGCGATTGTTTGCCCAGAGCGCTGTCTTGCAGGCGAACTCTGGGGAAAACGCTGAGCTGCAGGCTGGATTCTGACGGGCGGGGCTGGTGGTGGAACTCAGCGAGAGCCGCGGCCGTGGAAAAATCAAAGCTTGCTCGCGACGGTCCCTCCAGCGGGGACGGGGTGGGCCGCGCGGCTTGATGAGGTGGCGCACAGCTTCTGGCACCTCCTCCGACTGTTTCACTTCGCCAGCATGGTTTGAAGCTGCTCTGAACAGTGCGTCCGCGATGGCTTCATCAGGTCTTGTGCAGATTCTCCGGCAGCGAGGGGAGTAACGAAGCCAGGTGGGTCGATGGATCATCGACATCCGCGCTGCAGTCCTCGACAGGCAAACCGTGGGAGAGGCACACATGTTGAGCTGGCGTCAGCTGCCTTACAGAGGGAGTTCTTCGTCTCCAAGGCAGGTCTGCGGCCTTCAGTCCCTTGGACATGCTATATGCTAGCAGCGCACGTTGTTGCTAGCTGCGGCTGCCTGAAAACACGTTGGTGGGCTCGATTGGAGAGCGTGGTCGCCGTCTGGTTCGTGTTCCTCCGGAGGGACGGAACGCTGCTCCGACCTGGGCAGCTTCGCTCCGGAAGCTTCCGCGAGGCTTGGCTCCAGGGGGGGTTACCGAGGAATAGCCCCGCTCGGTGAATCCCTCAACTCTGGTGATGGGAGCGGACTGGGGACCGACTCCTCTAATCTACCAGGAAAGAACCGTATGCGGCCTCGCCCGTCGAACGTCCTGTTGGAACGTGAGGCCGTATGGATCAAGACGGTGAGCCACAGTGGAGCCCAGTGAAAAACAACCTTTCCGCCGATCATCCGAACTGGCGGGAAAAAGGCGAGGGACGTAGAAAAAAAAGGGGTCCCTTATGTCAGCCTCCTCCCGGGTTCCGCCGGGCAACCCCTGAGGGCGCTGTCGGCCGGGAGCGGTGTGATCGCCGATGCGAAACGAGGTGGGATGGGGTGAGCATTCACTCAGCCCCCCTCCACCTACACTACGCTCCCCAGGAGGGAATGAGCAGCGGGGGCTGCAGCTGAGCACGCCTGTCCCGGAGGAACCATCCGGTTCGCCCCGAGGGTCGGCGATAAGAGGAAAAAACACAAGATGGCGTTGTCCAGCGTGTAGTGACCTGTCACTGGGAAATGTTCCCCGACGCTTACCTTGGAATAAGACTGCTGTCATCTTCTCCTCGGGGAGGAGAACTCACCGGACGACCGGAGGTCGACTGCCGGGCCAAGCATCCTTCACAAAGGTTGGTCATTTACACAATTTATCTTCTTTGTTCTTCTGACAGTGCTATATTAGCTCGCTGAAGAAAAAATGGGAGCCGATTTCCCGCTCTTTACGTAATTTATACGGACCGGGTGGGGCCCACACAGCAGGTGGGCGTGGACTATTTTTTTTCAGTGCTTATGCTCTGCATAACGGGATAAACCCACTAAAGCGAAGGCCTTAAAGGGCGAAGCTTATACGACATAGAACGCTGAGCCATCGACCCAACACCCCGACCCCGCTCGAAAACTTTCGGTACGAACAGCGCACAACACAGATGTGTCTCAGCCTCCAAACCCATACCCCCGTGGACAAAAATCACGGACGAGATGAGCGCCCTGCCATGTAGGGGAGACACTATGGCAGTGGAAACTATGGTCACAGGTGAGCTGTCAACTGTAGCATACATGTTCCTCTACACCAGGGATGTTCAGCTAAACTGCTCAGGGGACCACAGTTACTGAGAGCCAGCAGCTCAGGGGCCGGACATCCAGCAGTTAAAGTCATTATGTCAATAAATTAAGTATTACAATGATCTGTTACCGTTTAAATGGTTTATTTTATTGCATTGCATCATAAATGCAATAAACAGAGCCCAAACCCCCAAAAATATGTATTTGTTTAATGAAGTCATCGGTGGGCCGGCCCACGGGCCACCAGTTGAATAGCCCTGCTCTGCATACTGATCCACTGGACTGAAAATGAAGAACTTAAAGAGCTCTTGCTAGCAGGATTAGCAGCAGCGTCACACATTTCTGTACCCAGTAGCAAACGTTGAACATTTGAAGAAAAAAAATTATAACTTGACAAGTTTGATGAATGTTTTTGTATCAAACGCCCATCACCATCGCTCACCTGATTATGTGACAAGTTTATTACCTCTCAGTTCCTCCTCAGCAGTCTAGTGTGCATGACGACGTCTGCAGGTACATCTGAACGTTCACACAAGAAGGACCCAATACAGAGACAGAATGTTGTTCTTACACTTGGTGTCGTTTTTCCACCAAGGGATCATTTATGCATCTGATTGTTGCCTTTTCTGTGGTTGTGGTTTTGAGAACTGGTGATGTTTTCTTCCCCAGGAGGTTTTTCCAGCAGAGTATGACGTCAGTTATGATGCAGACATGCAGCTTCTTGTGTGGGAATTCCTTTCCAAACTGGAAAGCCTTCTGCCAGTGCCAGACCTCGGCCAGGTAGGAAGTGACATCACATCTGTCGGATAAAGAACGTAGTGCAGAAGCTGCTGCTCCTCATGTTGAATACAGATGTCTTTTATTGTGATAATGCTGGTGTGACATCACACACTAATTCAACATAGAGGTTTATTTTTTGTATCTGTGTAAATTTGAAGTCAGTCCAATTCAAGATGATCACCGCAGTTAATCGACATTAGTTAGCACAAAAGTTGCTAATAATTCAGGCAGTTTTACTGATAGTGAGCTAAAAAAGGAATGGAGAAATAGCTGAGGAACTAAACCTACACAAAACGCAATATGTAGACCTGTCGCAATAAACAATAAATCAATTCATCGTATGATAAATGAAAATTATCGACCTCATTTTCATTTATCGGCTTTATCGTTTCTTTGTGTCTCTCTCTACTGAAGACACTGGATGACAAAAGACTCAACTCCGATGCTCTTCACTGACCCCATCTTTTCTCTTTAAAATCTGTTTTAACCGTCCAAAATTGTGTTTTTGTATCGTTAAAAGCAGCTAAGCTAAAAGGCCGACCTCGTGAAAAAACCTCCGTTTTGTCGAAGCTCCAGAATTCACAGTTGAAACCCGTGCCTTTGTGTAAGAAGTTGTTTCTCTGCAAAAAGAAGATGAGAACTTGTTTACTGATTTTTAATTAAAAGCTTTGTGTGAAAATGCTAAAGAGCTCAAACCACACCGAGCGTCCGCCATTTTGAGAACCGAAAAACAGGAATGAGAGACAGCCCATGTCACGTCAAGGGGCCTCCCTCCCATTTTTCTTAGAGAGACACGCTGCTGCTCCCTCACTGTCCATCCTTTGGTTCAGTCATATACATTTTATACAGTCTATATAAAAAGGTGCTACACTCAAAATACAATTAACCAACATTTCTTCTTAAATTTGACAATAATTACTAATTATTGTCAAATTTCAAACAATATCGTTTATTGCAATAATTTCTGAGACAGGGATTAATCTCCCAGCAGAATTTGCTATCGTGACAGGCCTAGCAATATGGCAACACTGCATGAGATTAAGCATATTATTTTGATAATTTGACCAAAACAGATTTAACTTTGTAATTTATCAATTTAAGATAGTCGTAGTTTAAAACTCTGACATTCTGACAGTCTTTTTGTGAATGAACAGACTGTTTCATGGCTGACCTTTGCCCCCTCATTACTGAAGGACATGCCAGCGCTCACTAACCCTGACGACGTGAGGGCTCTCCTGCAGCACCACACAAGCCTCAAGTCTCTTAGTGTACAAGGTAAACTCAGCGCGTCAGTCGGGTTCAAATGTTCCTGTGAATATCAAATATGGTTTTATTGTGTGTTCTGCTCAGGTTCCACAGTAGAGATGTCCACTCAGGTCTTTACCTGCTCCGAGTGTCCGTTTTTCCACATGCAAGAGTCGTACCTGCTGCAGCACGTTGAGCACAGTCACCCTGAGCACTACAGCCAGCTCCAGAGGACTGCACACACAGCTGAGGCCCCCACGAAGAAACCTCCACGACCTCGGTTTCCACAACCCTTCCCCATCCATGACAGGCCGGACCCCCACACGTGTCCGGACTGCGGCAAAACGTTCACACGTGCCTTCGACGTGACGCGTCACCAACGCACACACACAGGCGAGCGCCCGTACACCTGCGAAGAGTGCACCAAGACCTTCAAGAACTCTTGGGATCTGACCAGACATCAGCGTCTTCACACCGGAGAGAGGCCCTTCCTGTGCTCCCAGTGTGGCAAGCGTTTCACCCAGATGGGCTTGCTCAAGCTGCACTTTGAACGGACCGCCTGTGGACAGAGCTGCAACCCTCCGTTAGACTTAACGACGGAGGTGGTGGTGGCAGAGGAGACGGCAGAGAAGGAGCGCCGGTACAAATGTCAGAAATGTGGCGAGAGCTTCAGCAGCGTCCTGGACCGGCTGAGACACAGACAGAGCCACGTGGTGCGACGCCAGTACAAGTGCTCCCTGTGTGACAAGATCTACAGCCGTGCCTCGGACCTCAAGAGACACCAGATGAAACACACAGGCGCGCGGCCGTTCTCCTGCGAGTGTGGGAAGAGCTTCACGCACTTGTGGCTTCTGAGCAAGCACCGGCAGATCCACACCAGGGGGCGGCCGTACGTCTGCTCGGAGTGCGCCAAGAGCTTCGCTCAGCTGCAGACCCTGAGCAGGCACCTGCTGGTCCACAGCGCTCAGCAGCCTTTTCAGTGTCCGCTCTGTGAGAAGAGCTTCACCCAGCTGGCCAGTCTGACCCGCCATGAGAGAACCCACACAGGTGAGAGGCCGTACGTGTGCACCACCTGTAAGAAGGCCTTCCTCACTAAAGGAGAGCTGGCGCGACACCAGCTCAGCCACAGCAGCCTCCGAGCCTTCGGCTGTCCTCAGTGCTCCAAGAGCTTTAAAACTAAACGTTCTCAGACGCAACACCTGAGCAGCCACACAGGCGAGCGCCCGTTTGTGTGCACCCGCTGCGGAAAGAGGTTTGCCAAGTCAGCCTCGCTCCTACGCCATAATCTTACTCACAGCGGGGAGCGGCCCCATCACTGCCCCCAGTGTGGCAAAACCTTCATCACCTCTGGGGAGCTGCTCCTCCACAGACGCATCCACACAGGAGAAAGGCCTTATTCATGCTCCTACTGTGAGAAGAGCTTCAGGTGCTCCTCTGACCTCAACGTGCACGTCCGAACGCACACCGGGGAGAAGCCCCACAGCTGTCTGCTCTGTAAGAAAGCCTTCCTGACACCCGTACGGCTGAGGAGGCACATGCGTACACACGTATCGAAGAGCACGACCGTGGGACCATTAAGTGTTTGATGTGTGGCACAGGTAGATTTATTTGAGTTTGACTGTTCGAAAGACTCATGTTTGTTTATTTATTTATTTGATGCTAATATTCATGAAATATTTCTTATTCTGATTTTGTGAAGAATTAAATTTTGTGTTTAGTGTTGGCTGATGATCACAAGCAGGGTGGGTGGGGTGGGGGGGTTCTGTAAGCAGCCAATGTGAAAAATCAAAGTTGACCCAGAGGTAAGTCGAACTGAGTCTTGTAATGTTAAAATATTTTAAAATAAATTGTGTTTGTATCAAAGCTGTCGCCACCAACCATCATTTGTGTTTGCTTTATTTAAGCAGTACTGTTATTGTTTATTGTTTACTTTATTTAAGCAGTACTGTTATTGTTTATTGTTTACTTTATTTAAGCAGTACTGTTATTGTTTATTGTTCACTTTATTTAAGCAATACTGTTATTGTTAGGAAACCGTATATTTCAGACTATAAGGCGCATTAAGCCAAACAAAACATAAGTCAAACAATTAATTCACAATAACTCTCAACATTGTTCAGTTGTTACACATAAAATACAAAACAACACACATTGTTGAGCGTTGTGTACCACATGAAATGGATTCGAAGTCAGTAAGCACAACCACAATTAATCCATAAAGTGCTCGCTGTCGATTTTTGAGAAAATTAAAGGATTTTAAGTGAATTTTGGAGCTTGGACAAGACCAAGTTTTTTTTTTCCCACAGGTCGGTCTGTTAGCTTAGTGATGAATAGACAGGCTGTGTGTGTTCACTCTTATATAGTTACTTTATTTATATATCTATTTTCATGTGTTATAAACTGTTCACACATATTTGATCACGTAGAGGTGAAACACTTGTTTTCCACAGCACTGACAGGAAGGAGGGGCCGAATCATGTTTCTGTAGACAGTGTTGTGTAATGTCATCTTTCATGCTGTGCTCTCACATGGTAGAAACTGCAACATCAAGATGTACATCATAGAAGTTCATGATGTACGTAACTCCTTGTACAAGAGAACCAGAGACGGTTGCAATCTTGCTGGAACAGACCACTGTCAGCTGGGGCAGTGGGCGAAGAAACGAGACCATGCCAGACCACACCCAGGAGCATCGACTGACCCAGAACAACATCACGATAAGGAAATCCCAATGGAACTGATGACGCTGTATTTACACGGAGCAAAGACATTTGTAACTCAGACGTGTTTTTTGATGGATGTAAGGTTCCTCAGACTGAGGAAGTCTTTCGGATGAAAGCCGAAACGTTTCTACATATTTTTGGTTGTTTTTTGTTTTGTTTTTTGAATGTCCAGAGGACCAGATTGAACTTTTTTTTAGATTTTCACAATGTTCCATCTTTCTGAGACAGTTAATTTTGTTTTTTCATTATTTGTCAGCCATAATTTTGCGGGCACGGTGGTGCGCTTGGAGCTGTTGCCTCTCAGCAAAAAGGATGCTTGTTCAAATCTTGGCCTTTCTGGGAGGAGTTTGCATGTTCTCTCTGTGCATGCGTGGGTGTTCTCCAGGTACTCCAGTTTCCTCCCACAGACCAAAAACATGCATGTTAGGCTGAACGGTAACTAACTTGTCTCTAGGTGAGAAAGTGAATGGTTGTTTGTCTCTATGTGTCCCTGTGATGGACTGGAGACCTGTCCAGGTGTCCCACTTCTCGTACTGTGATGGCTGGATATGCACACCACTGACCCTCAGGACCCAGAAAGAAAGAAGCAGGTAAATATAATGGATGGATGGATGGATGGATGGATGGATGGATGGATGGTTGGATGGATGGATGGTTGGATGGTTGGATGGATGGATGGATGGATGGATGGATGGATGGATGGATGGATGGTTGGATGGATGGATGGATGGATGGATGGATGGATGGATGGAAGCCAAAATCATCAAAACTACAAAAAATATAAAGGCTTCAAGTATTTCACTCTGTGTAATGAATCGATATAATTTATGAGTTTCACTTTCTGAAATATTTGACAAAAACAATTGAACTTTTCACGACGTCCTCACTTTTTGAGCTGCACATGCATTTGATGTTTTCTACCAGCTAATTTTGACGAGCTGTGGCGGCCATCTTGATTTGAATCGACTCTAAGGGTTCATGAACTGTAGCTGCATATTGAACATTTACTTTCTGAGAGTTTCTTCAGCATCTTGAACATAGACACAACATGACCACACGCCGTACACCTCGTGCACTGGTCAATAAGATAATAAGATAAGAACGTTATTAATGATCATCACTTCAGCTGTCTCAAAGCATTTTTGATTAGAAAATGGTTATCATGGTTAATGTTAGTATAAAAAAGAAACAGTCTACAAAGATCTAAGGTATATGTTATGTTACATTATTAATGTTTAGCGTATATCTTAGATCCTTGTATACTGTTTCTTTTTTATACTTTATATTTTTTTTAGGTGTAACTGGGGCCTTGAGTACACAATTTCGTTCCACCTCATGTACCACATGTGACGCGAAAGACAATAAAGAACCTTGAACCTTGGTTCTCCTCAGTTTGCACGTGTTAGTCCAGTTTTGACCTGCAGATGGCGCCAAAAGACCAGACAATATTGATTTAAATATTCTGTTTTTCTGTACTTTATGTGAAAAATGAATCAACTCTTAAAGATAGTCAAAGTAAGCAATAAATATCAAGCTGTGGTACAAACTCTACTTACATCAGTCCAACAAGTTTTGGGAAATAAATGATAATTAGACCATGCTGAGTTCATGAATGACTCACTCTCATGTAGTACAAGGAAAAGATCTGAGGTAAATGAGCTTGGCTCTACTGCAACATTTAATTATCTCACTTTTCTCCCATTGGGAGTTATGCTTAATTCTGTCCAAGGACCTGCAGTTAGCAAGATGATTAAAAATAAATAAATCTACTTTGGAGTTATGAATGGAACTGGATGTATTTACAACACTGTCTCCATGGACGGAGGATAACCCCACTCCCTGCACAGCTGCCCCTGGGCCACGCTGGATGTGTAATCAAACCAAAACGTTCTCAGGAGGGGCTACAACATTTAAAACGACTTTGTATTGTAAGTGCAAGGACAATTATTAATATTTTTTTTAGAGATGCACGATATTGGATTTTGGCCGATATCCGATATGTTAAAACTTATTTGGCCGATAACCGATACCAGTACAATATATTTCCCCCCTTTGAACTACTTACCTTATGGCTTTCTCTGCTGTGGAGTTAAAATTAAAATACTACATTATTCTGCATGGTCTTTGTCAGTTTGGCCTGCTACCAAATGTGGATGCCAAAGGGGGCTGAAAATGATGTAACAATTCAACTTGGACTATGTTTAATGTCATATTTATTCACGACATTTACTCTCTAACACAATGACAACACTTGATCAGGGCAAATTTGTAAATTGTCACAAATCTAAAGTCAACGGCGCACGTGACGCCATAACGTTGTGCTGGCACTGCAGACATATTTGTCATTGGGTTGTCATACAAAAACAGTGCCATAAATATATATATGTGTGTGTGTATTTATGTAAACAGCACTTTTTATATCAGTGAGTTATTTTGATGGAATGGCCGATGCCCGATATTTAAATTTATCGATAATATCGGCCGATACCGATACCATGCCGATAGTATCGTGCATCCCTAAAATTTTTTAATTCCCTTTGATCGGTCCTATTAAAAGCTTATCACTTCTGCTCAGATTATTGTAGATTTATAAAACATTTTTCAGTAGTATTGGTATAATTAGAGACTAAACATATTAGTTTTTCATAAACTGACCAATTCCCTTGATGGTGGCGAACCATGAGAGCAACGCCTTCAGGTGGGATGTAACTTCCCATGTCTTTGGTCTGTGGGAGGAAACCCTCGCCTGCACGGAGAGAACATTCAGGGGCGGCTGTGGCTGGATGGTTTTAGCAGTCGTCTTCCAGTGCAAGAGTTGGGGGTTAGATTCCACCAGCAGTCACATGCTGAAGACACTGAACCCCTCACTGCCTCCGATGTGTGTCCCATCGGTGTATGAATGTGATAAAGCTCTGATTATTCTTTGTATAGATCTAGTAGAGTGCTGTAAGAATGGATAAATGAGGACACAGATTGTTGTAAAGAGCTTTAAGTATCTTGATAAGATAGAAAGGAACTATAGAAGTACAGTCTATTTACCATTTGACATAGTTTTTCTTTTCACTATATGCCGACGACTTACACATTTATTGATCCATGAAGTCCTCAAAGACGAAGCAATTTTCAACTAAATTGACCTTTTTGATTTTTTATTGCAGTGACCACATTTAACTTTGCCCTAACCAAAATGTCCTATTTTTAAATGAAGGAAGGATGGCGTGCATTGGTTTGGGGATGATGCCCATGTAATTTTGGGGCTTTGACATCTGTTTAGACCCACAGGTAAAATTGTGGGGGTGACTTTTGTCAAGGATTTGAAGTTTGACAAAGAGCCTCTGTAAAGTCCAGCTTTTGTCAATTATATCTCTCAGCCAAGGTCAAGCCTGTTTTTAAAAGAGCCCTGACCTGAAATAGACCGTTCACCTGTTTTATTCTCTCTCCCTTGACTTCCAGTCCAGTGAAGAACTCTTGTTAGCTCCTACTGGTCTTGCCTCGTCATATTTACATTGTGGCTTTCCACGAGTATGAGAAGACCTTAAGGTAAACTAATACGTCTTTACTTCATGTCCCATGGTTCAAATAGAAACGTTGGGGTGACTGGACCTTTCTGGTTGCTGCAGCCTGCCTTTGGAACCAACTCCCACAGGACTTGAGCTCCATCTGACTGACCTGGGTATTAACAAAAAAAAATCACGCAGTCTTCTGTTATTTATGGCATTTCCCCTAATTCTGTTAACCTTTAATTTATTTTTATAAATTGTATCTTTGTACGGCGGCACGGTGACTCAGTTGGT